AAACCATTTTGTAAGCAAAATCATCCAAATGGTATTTAAGGAAGAAAATGGAATGAAGTCAACAAATACAAGAAATATGGGAAAGAGCTGCAAAAATACCAATATCCTTTCATCTTTTAATTGGTCTTTAAATATCTTCTTTTGTGCTAGTGTCTTTATGTGGCTGTAAGTCATCAAACACTATTACCTCCTAAGAGTTAAAATTAAAGTAACATTCAGAAGACAATGGAGAGGTTCATGCACAGTATGATAACTGAGGAAAAGAAGGCAAGGGTTACTGGCATGCCCAATAAATGTTTGAGGTGTTAAGAAATTCAGGCTTCTTTCTTCCCTAGCCAAAACATGTAGACTCATTTCTGATCTGAAATGAAAAAAAAAATTGGATGACTAGCATTTTGGGGAATTAATTTAAATTTTTATAAATAAATATCCTCAGGCTAGTAGTTGATGTGAAAATGAGGTGGGTATTTATGGCTCCCACATTAGAAATTTGTGATTTGAAATGCCAGGAAAAGTAAAATCAAAGTTTTCACAATATTTTCTATTTTTTCCTCTAAGTTATTTTGCTGGCTAAGTATTCCATCTTCCCATAGGCCCCATTTTAAATGCACAGAACACTATAAATCTACCCTAGGACCTTGTACAGTGTTCTGTTTATTGTTAAGTCCATAATGAATGTTTATTGAAAGAATGAATGAATGAATGAATGTATGATGCAACTATTTCTAGGAGAGGCAACAGACTAAGTTATGCTGAACCAGGAAGCAGGAAGTCTGAACATTTTTCCTGGCTCTGCCTCTAAATTGCCTTATAACCTTGGACAAGTCTTATGCCTTTTCTGGGCTTCAGTCCTCTTGTCTGCAAAAATGAAGTGATTGAACTGGATGACTTCTAAGGTCTAGCATTCTATGGTTCTATTGCTAAAGAAAAGCGAGGGAGTCTGAATAAATATGTCACTTACCAGGTAGCCTATGGAGGTATGAGGCATAGAGGACTCAGAGGAGTTTGGGGAGACAAGGGGGGCAGTCTGAGTTGGGGGAGAAGGTACAAAGGTAACAGGCATAAGGTTTTTGAAAGGCTACAGAGTTGAAGAGATTAAAGGAGTAGGAAGTATGAAGTATCTAAGGGAGTTGTATGAGCAATAGATTCTACAGAGGTAGGAGGTAGGAGGCGTCTGAAGAGTTGTGAGCTCTTAGAGAAGTAGGTGTGTGGTTTGGGACTTGGCATGGAAGTGTTTTGTGATGTGTCTAATGGTATGTGAAATTTGGGGACTTTGATGTGGGGAGGAACAATGGGGCAGTGTGAGGTGGGTATGAACAGAGAGTAAGGCATGGAGGGATATTAGAAATAGGAGAGGATAAGAAGGTTAGAGGTACAGGAAAGATTAACAGGAGAGTAAAGCAGGGAAGCTTCAGAAATGTCAAGTATGGAAGCTAGAGGCCAGTGTGGCCTATAGTGAATGTGTTATTAAAGGGATGAACCGGGAATGTCTAGTAGGGAGTAATGATCACAAAAAGCAGAATGGTTGTCATATCAGACTAACCTTATTTCCTTTCTTGACAGGATTACAAGACTAGTAAATCAGGAAAATGCTATTGATATAGTTTACCTAGATTTTAGCAAATCATTTGCAAAAGTATCTCATAGGATGTGTCTTATGGAGATGAAGACATGTAGGTTAGAAAATAGTAAGATTAGGTGGATTCAATTGAATTCCAAAGAGTTGTGCTTTTAAAAAAATTTATTTTTTTAATTACATGTCAAATAATTTTAATGTTTTTTCAAATTTTGTGTTGCAAATTCTTTCCCTCCCCACTCTCCTCTCCCTCTCCTTGAAATGTTAAGCAATTTGACATACATTATGCATGTGCAATCATGCAAAACATATTTCCATATTAGTCATGTTGTAAAAGAGAAGACAGACCAAGAAAAAAAAACCCATGAAAAAATAAAGTGAAAAACAGTATGCTTTGATCTGCATTCAGACTCCAGTGGATAGCATTTTTTTGATCATGAGTCTTTTGGAATTGCCATGGATATTCCATTATGGTCATATACCACAATTTGTTTAGCCATTCCCTAATTGATGGGCATCCCTCAATTTCTAATTCTTTGCCATCACAAAAAGGGCTCCTATAAATATTTTTGCACGGATAGGTCTTTCCCCCTTTTTTTTCATCTCTTTGGAATTCAGACCTAGTAGTAGGATTGCTGGATCAAAAGGTATGCACAGTTTTATAGCCCTTTGGGCATAGTTCCAAATTGTTTTCCAGAATGGTTGGATCAGTTTACAACCCCACCAACAGTGCATTGGCGTCCCATTTTTCCCTCCAATAGCTTGACTTCTTTGCCTGTTCATATCTTTAGACCATTTGTCAACTGGAGATTGACTTGTATTCTTATAAATTTGATTCAGTTCTCCATATATTTGAGAAATGAAGTCATTATCAAAGAAACTCATTGTAAAAACTTTCCCCAGCTTTCTGTTTTCCTTCTAATCTTGGTTGCACTGGGGTTTTTTGTTGTAAAAACCTTTAAATTTAATATAATCAAAATTATCCATTTTACATCTCATAATGCTCTCTGTCTCTTGTTTGGTCCTAAATTCTTCCCTTATCCATAGATCTGACAGGTAAACTATTCCATGCTCTCCTAATTTCCTTATGATATCATCTTTTATGTCTAAATCATGTACCCATTTTGACCTTGTCTTGGCATATAGTGAAAGCTGTTGGTCTATGCCTAATTTCTGCCATGCTGTTTTCCAGTAGTTTTTGTCAAACAGTGAGTTTTTGCCCCAAAAGCTTGGGTCTTTGGGTTTATCAAACACTAAATTACAATGGTCATTTACTACCATGCCTTGTGTACCTAATCTTTTCCATTGATCTAGCACTCTAGTTCTTAGCCAGTACCAGAGTGTTTTGATGATTACTGCTTTGTAATACAGTTTGAGATCTGGTATGGCTAGGCCACTTTCCTTCACATTTTTTCCCCTTAATGTTCTTGACCCTTTGTTCTTCCAGGTTATTTTTATTTTTTCTAGTTCTATAAAATAGTAATGGGCATATTAACATATTGATCAATATCAATATATTGATAATGGGCATTGTTTCTTCATCCCTGATCTTATTGGAAAGGCTATTATTTTATTCCCATTAAAGATAATGCTTGCTAATGGTTTTAGATAGATACTATTTATCATTTTAAGGAAAGCTCTTTTTATTCAATTGAAATTTTAAAAAAAGCAGGGGTAGGAATCATGATCTCAGAAAAAGTGGCAGCAAAAATAGATCTAATTAAAAGAGATAAGGATGGAAACTACATTTTGCTAAAAGGTACTATAAACAATGAAGTGATATCAATACTAAACATTAGAGAAGGTGCCTAGGTGCCTAGGTTTGTCTATTATCCAAGGTCCCTCTAACTGTAGTCAGGGAGGTTCTGCATCAGGATAGTGGCAAGGGGTGAGATGTAGTCGGTCTGACAGGGAGAGTAAGCCAGAGAGGCTACTTGCTACACAAATAAGATGAAATGTAATAGGAATAGAGCTCATAACTTTGTTAAAGTCTCACTTTTTGAACTTGGATTCAAAATATCAACTTCACAAAGACAAAATTGGGGAGGCCTGGTTATAGCAGTTAATGCAAAACAGATGTGGAGATTATAGTGGACTGAGTACTCTGCCCAGCACAAGTGCATCCATGTTTGGACTGCACTCTAATGCTGCATCTTAACTACTATCCCCAATTTGTTTTTGTCCCAACTGAAGGAAAAAAAAACCCAATTACAGCTCTCCTTTTTTTCCTGGTTAGACAACACCTGCAGTATTACATTTAGTTCTGAATAAGCTGTAGAGTATCCTGAGGATAGTGGCCTGGACAGCAAGGAGTCTGGGAGATCATGCCATGCGAGAATCAGTTGAAAAAATTGTACACATATTTAGGCAGTACACATGTTTAGACATTAGACCCCACGGACACTTGCAAGATGTCTTCAAGTATTTGAGAGGAATTAGACTGCATTCTGCTTGGACACAGAGGTCATAACCATGAGTAACAGGTAGAAGTTGCAAAGGAGATCTTAAGTAGTTCTTAGGTTCTTAAGTCTGAGCACTCAAAAAAATTTAAATATTTTGATGACTGTTTCAATATAATTGATTCCTTTTGTAATCCTATGTATTTCATTTTTCTATAGACTTTACCAGACTTGCCGAAGGGTGCACTACACAAAAAAGATTAAGAACCCTTGTCTTAGAGATATGTAAGGAAAAAACTTCTAACAGTCAGAACTGTCCAGAAGTGGAATGGGTTGCCTTGGGAAGCAGTGTGGTCGTGGATTGTTATCAGATGGTCCTGGGATTGCTTCCCGCTCAGGTTCTATGATTCGAAGGCGATTCTGGGGTGAGAGGTAGGAAGGATTTGCGGGTGTGGGGACAGACCCTGAGGTGAGAGCTCTGAGAGGTGACTGGTGACCCTTCCTCCTACTCGCCCCACAGCAATTATTGTAGAGGCATGCTTGGGGAGTGGGTCCCCTCCTCAAAGGGGAGTCAGTTTGGGGACATGGAGTGGAAATGGGAGTTCAACTGCCTGGACCTAAAGAGGAGGTGGGGAGGACCAGGGTCTGGAAGACAGGGGCGAGATCGCGGCTCCAGAGGGAGAGAAGATGAAGCATAGCTGCTGATAATCGCGAGGCTAAGTAGCAGTCTAAGATGAAGCACAGAACGGGGCGGGACTCAGGCAGAGGAAGGGGTGGAGCAGAGCAAAGCCAGGGGGTGGGGCTAAGGCACAGGCCGAGGCGGGTAGATCCCGAGGGCGTGGCTAATGCGGAATGGGGACGACCAGAAGGGGAGGGGCGAGGCTTAGGCTGAGGCTGAGTAGAAGGGGCGGGGCTGATGCGGAAGTAGAGAAGAGCAGAAAGAAAGGGGGCGGGGCAAAGAAGAGGCGGAAGAGTGGCAGGTCGGGGCGGGGCTTAGAGGGAAGTGGGGCGGGGATAATCCCAAAGGGAGAGGCGGGGCTAGGTCGTGCCGAGGATGCGGGAGGAATAGCGGGGTCTGGCCTGCGCCGTTTCCTGCCGGTGGCGGAGGCTCCCAGAGTCTGGCCCGGCTCGGTCAATTTCCAGGCCCATCTCCCCGGCGAGCTCCTCTGTGGCCGGAGGAGAGGCCCCCGGTGCTATCATGCTGCTGCCAGTGTTCACTCTGAAGCTGCGCCACAAAATCAGCCCCCGCATGGTGGCCGTGGGTCGCTATGACGGGACCCACACGTGCCTGGCGGCCGCCACCCAAGCTGGCAAGGTAAAGGGACCCAGCCTCCCCCGGGCCCACGGCGGCCTTTTCGGGAGGAGGGAGGATCGCCCCCCTCTTCTTCTTCCCAGCCCCCCTGCTCCTCCCCTCTGTTTTCCCCGCCTTATCCTCCCCAGTCAGGGTTGCTAGGCAACCGCACCCTCCGCTGTGTGGAGCTGAAGGGCTCTTACTGTTGTAATTATTAATAATAATCCTCCAGCAACACCTCCATTGCTTCCCCCACAGCTCACTGCCCCCTTTCCCCCACCATATGCCTGATATATGTTATTATATAATACACATATAAATAATATATCATTACTAGAATATTTCAGGGATGCAAGATTTCCACCTTGTGAGTGTTCACTACAGGGCAAAGACTGTTAGAGTCAGAGGACCTGGTTTTGAATACCATTTCTGTTACTTACAAACTGAATGACCTTGGGCAGGTTACCTGGGCCTGGGTTTCCTTTCTGTAAAATGAAGGATGAGCTCAATGATATTCCAGATCTTTTGCAGCTTGAAATCCTTTCACCAAGGTATATTGCCTTCCATGATATAAAACTTCAACTTGAAGAATTTCTGTGTCCAAAAATTGCTCGCCTTGCCACCATCCTGATTCAGAACCTCCCTGACTACAGTTAGAGGGACCTTAGACAATAAACAAGTTGGTCACTGGGTCCTCCACCGAAGTTGTAGTTTGATTATTGCTAATACTGATATTTCAGTATTTCATAGAATCTTAGGATTTAGATATGAAAACGACCTTAGAGATTGTATAGTCAGTGCAGAATCTTCATTTACCTGAGGAGGAGACTGGACCCAGAGAAGTGATTTGTCTAAGGCCACAGGCCTTAGAGGGAGCAGCTAGGTGGCAGAGTGTGGATAGAGTCGCAGGGCCAGGAGTCAGGAAGACTCATCCTCCTGAGTTCAAATCTGGTAGACATTTACTAGCTTTGTGACCTTGGGCAAGTCACTTCACCGTGTTTGCTTCAGTTTCCTCAAAATGAACTGGAGAAGGAAAAGTGAAACTCCTTCAGTTATCTTTGCCAAGAAAACCTGAAAAGGAGTCACAAAGAGTTGGACATGACTGAAAAATGACTAAAACACCACCACCACACAGGTTAGAAGTAGCTGAGCTAGGATCTGACCAGATCCTCTAATTCCTAATTCCAAGTCCAATACTTTTTCCACTGTACCATACTACCTGCAGGTATCAATTGAATATGATTCAGTTAAATCAGTATTTATTAAGTACCTCCAGTGTGCCAGGCACTTTGCTTCAGTTATTTAGTATGCAAATTAGGCGTGACCATTCTTGTTGAGAACAAGGCTATAAATCACCAAAGGCCTGTTATCATATATACATTTTAAGGGACATTCTTTGCATTCACATCTTTGGAACTCATTTGCATAACTCTTTAAAAAGAAGTCTTTCCAAAAGTCTTTACATGTTTAATATTGTCTCAGTCTTTTAACCTGTGATATTGGCTAGTCAGGGATTATCATCTTGGTTTTTAGATGAGGAAATTTAAGTCAGAGACAGTGAAATGACTTGGCTACAGTCACAAAGCAAGTTAAATGGTAGAGAAGGCACTGGAATCCAGATCTTAACTTTTGGGCTTCTGACATTAATGGTTTGATTCTATCCTTTACAGATTATAACACAGGTTAAGTGAAATATAGGAGTTGAGGAATAATTCAATTCAACAAGCATTTATTAGGTACCATCTATGTGCTAGGGATCACAATGAGACAAACCGAGAAAAAAAAGTGAAGAGTCTCTGACCTCAAGTAACTGACATTCTGGGGTAAGGGGATGGAGAAGAAAAAACATGTACATATATAAATACAAAGAAATGGGAGGCAGTATATATGTATGAAGTACCAATAGGGAAACTAATTTCTTTAGGGAGAGGGAAGGCAATAAGCATTTATATAACCCCTACTGTGTGCCAGACACCATGCTAAGTGCTTTTTACTGCTATTATGTGCTATTATGATCCCCATTTTATAGTTGGGGCAAATAGAGACAAAGTGACTTGCTCAGGGTCAGTAAGCATCTAAGGATGGATTTGAATAGAAGTCTTCCTGACTCCAGGCTTAGCACTCTATCTACTTCACCACCAGCTGCCTCTGTAGGAAGTGGTACTTGAGCTAAGGCTTGAAGATAACTAGAGATTTGAAGAAGCAGAGGTGAAAGGGAGGGCATGGAGGTAAAGAGATAGAGTGTTGGGTATGGGAAGCAGTGGGTAGGCCAGTTTGAGTGACATGTAACATCACAGAGAATAATGTGAGATATTTGGAGAGATAAATAGGAGGTGGTAAATGCATAGGGCACTGGACTTTGAGTGAAGAAGACCTGAGTTCTAATCTTGTTTCAGATACTCACGATATGCCCTTGGGCAAGTCATTTAACCTCACCTATAAAATGATACGATTGTACTTTCTTGCCTCTCAGGCTTTTCTAGCCATAAAACTATGATCTTTAAATCCCCAAACAAGGGAATTTGTATTTTATCCCAGAGGCAGTAGAGAGCCACTGAAATTTTTTGAGCAGAGCAGCTGGGTGGCTTAGTGGATAGATCACCGGCCTTGGAGTCAGGAGGACCTGGGTTCAAATGCGGCCTCAGACACATAACACTTACACTAGCTGTGTGACTCTGGGCGAATCACTTAACCCCAATTGCCTGCCGAAAAAAGAAAAAAAAAAAGAAATTTCTCGAGGAGAGGAATGACATAGTCAGAACTGTACTTTACAGATAGTGATTTTGTGGCTTTAGGTAGAACAGATTGGAAAGTGGATAGATTGTATCCAGTGAGACCAATTGAGAGGCTATTGCAGTAGGCCATGTGAGAAGTGATGAGGGCCTGGGCAAAAGTGATGGTCCTGTGAGTAAAAAGAATGGGATGGGAAATATGCTGCTGGGATAGAGTCAACAAGACTTGGCAATGGATGGGATATTGGGAGTTAGGGAGATGGAAGAATTAAGGATGTTTCCAAGATTGCAAACCTGAGTGGCTTGGGAGGATGGTGGTTTTCAAGAAATTAATAAGTGATTTGTTTGGGAAGGACAGTAATGAGTTCCATTTTGGACATGTTGAGTTGGGGTTAGCACAGGACCAGAATTCAAGATTTGCTTAAGATACCGATCTTTGAGAAGAAAATGATGCTTCAGGCCTGACTTCCAGTTTTTGAATATTTTCAGCAATTACTTTTGCCAGATAACTGGTTAACTCTTCAGTTAGCCAAAGTATGAAATATCCAAACAGAACTGACTTAAACCATAATTCTAATGATAAAGTAAACTAATTTGCATTGCTGAATTGTAATTGTTTTTCAGGTATCAATGACATAATTTCTTGGTAGAGATCTGGCTTTGGAGTTCTGTTGTTGATTACACCTTTGTTACTTGGCAAATAAATCAGAGAAATTTAAATAAATAGATGTTTGTAGCTTTCTGTCTGTTTGAATTGCCAGAAACAATTCTATTTCAAAGCCAAAGTAAATAATTAAAATCATTCAATTCAGTTAAAATTTAGTAAATGTCTACTATATGTTGGAAGAATGTGTAAAGTATTGCTACGGAATGAAATTGGATTTTTCTTTTTTTCCCTTTTAATATATTTTTATTTATTTCATTAAATATTTCTCAATTATATGTAAAAAAATTTAACATTCATTTTTAAAAATTTTGAGTTTTAAATTCTCTCTCTCTTTTCTACCCCTCCTCTTTCCTTGAGAAGGCAAACAATTTGATGAAATTGGATTGTTTTCTAATTATTGTGTTATTCCCCAAAAGCATCATCAAAGCAATTCTCAGGCTACTGAGCTTGATATTGGGGAGAAAATGTGAGAGAACTGGAGGACTGATGCCAGCATTGACATAGGACCATATAATTTAGAGCTGTCGGGGACCTTAAGATGAAACAAGCGTTGATTAAGCCCTTACTGGATGCTAACCACTATGCTAAGCATTGGGAATACAAATAGAAATGGAATAATGAGACAGTTCTTATTCTCTGAGCTCACATTCTAATTGGGAGAGACAACGTATAGGAAAGTTTAGCAGTATGGTAGTTGAAACAGCATGGTAGTCCTTAGTGTTGAAGATGCTGTTAACATATAATACACATTTATTGAATTCATTTCAGTTCTAGAATTCTATAGATCTCATCTGATCCATTCAATTCTGAGATTCCATAGACATCATCTGATCCATTCCCCTCATGTTTTGAATGAAGAAATAGATTCCCAGAGAGATGAAGTGACTTGTCCAAAGCTGAATAACTAATAAGTGGCAGAACCAGGGTTTGAATCTGTGAGGCATCATCTTGTTAGCATTCTTCTGATATTTTCTTCTATTCCGCTCTCACTTGTACCCAGCCTTGAACTGGATACTAATGCTAGTGAATGCCTCTAGGTTAGACACATTTGTTTGTAGGAGTGAACCATGACTAGGTAGAACTTAGTTTGATTCTCTGGCTTTAAATGTTACTCACTCTTATTCTAAGTAGTTATGATTCTGACCAAAACTAATTCCCAATTAGGATGTACTAGAAAAGTAGGTAAATCTTCATTTGCTTGCCCTTTCAATTTAATTTGTTCTGATTCATGGGTCTTTTGAGGTATACAGCCATCTGGTTGCTAGAACTCTCGGCTAAATACCTTTTTCCTTTTTAGGAAATACAGTGTGATAATAGCTCTTAAAACACCTGTCATTTTCAAAGATTTCTCACATCAAATGCTTTTTGGGTATTGGTACCTCCTCACACATAGTTACAATGATCAACGTTAATGGCTACTGATTTTATTTACCTAATCAGCCATCAGCATCTGGGGGTAGGCAGCGCTGGCCACCTAAGACAGTCAAAACAGTTGAAAGGCCCCTGCACCTAATGTATAGTGGAAAGAGAAGTTAGTTGGAAATTTGATTAAGTAATATTCCCCAGTTTTGCTACTAATTATCTATGTGACTTTGAGCAAATCATTTACCATTTTTTGGGTCCCA